GGAGCCTGAAAACTGGAAAGACGGAAGAAGAAAGACCAGACCTGAAAAGTCCCCCGCGAAGAAGGCACCCAAGTCAAAAGGTCCACCCCCGTGCCCTCCACCTCTTGACGAAACAAGAGAGCCAAAAAAGCAGTGACATCATCCAGCTCCCAATCCTGGAAAGCTCGCTGGAACCGAACATCCCAAGATAACCTTCCGCTATCAAGGCGATAACAGTCAGCCACCAAAGCATGGCAATCCACAGCAATCCTAAACAACCTTGGAAACTGTTGACACAAAGGACATTCCTCACACCAAGGATCCTCCCAAAATCGAACACTCCGCCCTTCTCGAACTCTGAATCTAATATGCTTAGAAAACTCATACCAACCCTTCCCAATAGATTGCCACACACCAACACCAATAGCAGATCTAACCTATCTAGCAGACCAACCCCCTCTATTCTCCCCAAACCTGCAAGCAACAATCTTTCTCCAGAGTCTATGTCTTTCACTGCCAAACCTCCAAAGCCATTTGCCAAGAAGGGCCCTGTTAAAAGGGACCAACCTCCAAATCCCAAGGCCTCCTGACTTAAACGGCTTGCAAACCTGCTCCCACCTAACCAGATGATACTTAAACTCCTCCCCCCTACCACCCCAAAGGAAGTTACGTTGAATCATCTCAAGCCTCCTCTTAACAGAAGAAGGAATCTGGAATAGGGAGAGGAAATAAGTTGGAAGGCTGGACAAGACACTCTTCACCAGCGCAACTTTACCTCCTTTCAAAAGATATTGTTTTTTCCATCCCGCCAACCTTCTCTCGAAGCGCTCAATAACTGGATCCCAACAACCCGCCCTTCTTGAGGAGACCCCCAGGGGCAGACCCAGATAGGAGATAGGGAAGGAACCCGTCCTACATCCAAGCACAGCTGCCAGGGAATTCACCTCTGGAACCTCCCCCAAAGGGACAAGCACACTCTTGCCCACATTGATTTTCAACCCAGAAACAGCCTGAAAACAGACTAGGACACATCTCAAATATCTCAATTGGGACGCCTCTACCTCACAAAAAACCAATGTATCATCCGCGAACAACAAGTGAGAAATCTCCAATTGATGAACTGCCTCAGGACCTATCATGAAGCCCCGAAACATCCCCAATGAAACAGCCTTCCTCATCAGCCTACTAAGAGCCTCCATAACAATAATGAACAAGAAAGGGGAGAGGAGGTCCCCTTGCCTCAATCCAAGAGAACTACCAAAAAACCTCGAAGGGGAGCCATTAACCAGCACCGAGAATCTGACAGACGAAACGCAAAAAGCAATCCATTTCCTCAATCTCTCACCAAAACCCATCCTCTCAAGTAAATAGAACAAAAAATTCCAGCAAACATGATCATAGGCTTTCTCAATATCCAGCTTACACAAAACTCTAGGAATGCCACTACAAAGCCTAAAATCCACACATTCACTGGCAATAAGAACGGAATCCAGAATCTGTCTGCTTCCAATAAACGCATTTTGAGACTCTGAAATAACACCTTCCAAAACCCCCCTCAATCTAGAGGCCAAAACTTTGGCGATGAGCTTATACAAACACCCAATCAAACTGATAGGACGAAAGTCCTTAATGTCAAAAGCTCCCTCTTTCTTTGGAATCAAAGCAATAAACGAAGCATTCAGCAACTTTTCGAACTTCCAAGTGGAATGAAACTCACGGAAAGTGCCCATAATCTCCTATCTGACCACCTCCCAACTTTCCAGAAGAAATCTCATAGTGAAACCATCCGAGCCTGGAGCTTTATCCCCATTACAACTCTTCAAAGCCATTAGGACCTCCTCCTCCGTAAACGATCTCTCCAGCCCATCCCTATCCTCCACTGAAATAAAGTCAAACTGAAGGCCATCAAGTCTTGGCCTCCAACGGAGAGGCTCAGTATATAACCTCTGATAAAAAGAAACAATCCCCGTTCGCACCTCCTCATTGGAAGTCAGAAGCGAACCATCCACCCGAATCTGACCAATATGATTGCCCCTCCCATGTGCATTGGCCATTCGATGGAAAAACTTAGTATTGCGGTCACCTTCTTTGAGCCCCAAAGCCCGAGATTTCTGTCTCCACGAGATCTCCTCCATCACCGCAATCTCAGAACATTCACCCTGACAAGCTGCTCTCCTAGACCATTAAGAGTCGTCAAGACCTCCCGCCACATCCAATCGATCAAACTCTGCAATATCCGCGAGGGCCCTATTTTTCCTCCACTCCAAATTGCCGAACACCTCCTTATTCCAGATTTTAATTTTATCCTTCAGAATACGAAGCTTTCCAGCAAGGATAAAACTCGAAGTACCCTCCACCATGTCCTCCTCCAACCAAGTCCGCACCAAACCCTGAAAGTCCGCCGCTCTAAGCCACATATTTTCAAATCTAAACGGAGAACGACGAGGGCTCAAACCTCCACAATCCAAAACCAAAGGAATGTGATCCGACGTCACCCTAGCCAACGTAGCCTGAACTGCATCCGGAAACTACTCATCCCACTCACCGGAGATCAAAAATCTATCCAGGCGTGAAAAAGTAGGCACTTCTCTACCGCAAGACCAAGTAAAAGAAGCTCCCTCCAACGGGAGATCAATAAGTTGATGATCATTGATGAACTCTAAGAAAAGCCTCATAGCCGGAGTCCATGCCCCACCTGTAGACCTCTCCATCGGGGATCTAATCACATTAAAATCACCTGCCACACACCAAGGAAGAGACCACATCTCCTGAACTGCACATAGCTCCTCCCACAGCATAGGCCTCTCATAATCATCCACCGGCCCGTAGACCCCTGAAAAGGCACAAGGAAAGCCATCCTCTTCCAACACAAAAGCACAGGACAAAGAGAACAGCCCCCTACACACATCCACCTTATCTATCCATCTCCTATCCCACATCAAAAGAATACCACTGGAAGTCCTAACTGAATCAAGCGCCTCCCACTCAACGAATCTACTACCCCAAAGACTCTTGACAACTCTGTCAGTCATAGAATCAATTTTCGTTTCTTGGAGACAAACCAAATGAACCCCCCATTTCCTCACCGCCATCTTCACCACCTTTCTCTTGCCCGGGTCATTGAGGCCATGGACATTCCAGGATAGAAGTCGAAGCTTCATGGAAAAACAACAGCGCCCTTCACCCCCTTACCCTTCCCTCCCTTCATAGCACCCCCCTTCACCTCCTCCCCCACCAGAGCCCCATCAAATTTCACATCACAACAAAGATTATGCAACTCCCTCTCCCCTATCCAAGAGGGTTGAGTCTTCTTTCTCCTCCTCCTAGAAAACTGAATCATCTTCCCTTCTTTCCCCTCCGCCGTAGCTTGAAGAATAGCTAAAGCCTTTTCCCGGTTGCCATTACAAGAGACACCCAGCAAATCACTCGTGGGCCCAATGTTATTCAAAACCCAATCCTTGCCAAGGTCATCACACTCCTCCCTAACCAAATCAGTGTCCACCCCCTCCGGATGAACAACTGCCAGAGGGTCAACCAGTCCCAAATCCGAACAGCTCTCCTCCTCCCACAAGACCATGCCCAAGATCGACCCTGATCTTCCCAATTCCTATCAGCTTCCCCATTTTTGCCCTTCTCGATCACATCCACACAAGTCTCCCATTCAGCACCACTATCCACCCCACTATCATGAGAAAGGGATGCTGAATCACACAAGGGCACATCAGTCAGGTGTCTATGTTTCTGTAACTCCTTCACCAACAGAGAGGCTGATTCCTCATTAAGGACAATACGGATATCCTTTCCCACACAGACAGTCATCAAGTCAGCCTCACAAACTGATTGTGTTGGCACCAATTTATCCCCCTTAGGGAGACACAGATCCAACTGAGGCTTGACCAAACCCCCCATGTCACATCCAGACTTAACCCTCTGATGAGAAGAAGAGGAAAGTTCCGAGTAAGAATCCCCGGGCCCTTCGCTAACACGATCTGAACCCCCATCCACAAACAAACCGACCGTCCCATCCCTTTCTAACAATTAGGCAAATAAATTGTACTTTTCACTTTTTTTTTCTTTCTTTTTTTTTTTATAGAGAAAAGTACAAATAAATTGTACTTTTCTCTCTCTATTATGCTTTACTTTAATTTCTTCTCTAAGATTTTGCTTGATTGTTACGCTGATTTTTTGTTTAAATCAAGAAACTGATATTTAGTATTTGTCATGTGTCTTGGTACTTTTAATGTTTAATTAATTTTGTTGGTGCGTCTGAATTGGTTATTTACCCTTATTCTCTACTTATATTGAAAATATCTAATTTAGAAAATTAGTTTGACTTACTTTTCTAATAGTTTCATAGAATCTTACAATTTTTGATCCAATCCTATGGACCCCTCGTCGATCCTACGTAGAATCCTGATTCTAACAACTTGGTTTGTACACATTGATGCAGTGCAATAGGGGTCATGATTACATTTATCCACCATAAAATCAAAGATATTGAAACTAAGCCACGGAAGACATTTGGTGAGCACTATAATCTAAGGCGAATTTTATATTTAATATTTTTTATAAAGAAAAGGGGATCAATGGTAAGAAATCTATTTTAACATATTTATTTGGTGCACTTGCTTTTTTATGAAAGATAAACAATGCCTACTCAAATCTTTCTTACAACTCCACCAAAATTGTCACTAAACCAAGTAGAATTAAAGTTAATTGAACGAAAAGGATTTCATAAAATGCTCATTAGGTGCCAGTTCGTCCAAAGTATTTATGAATTCTACAAAATGTTACATTAAATCGTGATAGGAATAAGCAGGAAAGAAAATAAAGAGAGAAAATTGAAAGTACTGTGTACAAGATATCAGGGTAGCAACCGTTTAAAATATTCCCAAGATCACCTCAGAAAGCCATGTGCCTATGCTACGAACACCGTACGTGCATATACATATACATATATTATCAATTTCACATAGAAAATCAAATTTGTATACTACTTTGAAAGTGTGAGCATCGCTTACCTTTTTTTTATTCACTTCAGTGAATTCCCACGGAAGGTCGGGTTTGTTATCGGGAGAATCAATGTGCTACAAGAAATCAAATCCACAAAGAAATTCAAAGAAAAGATGCTAGTCAATCTATATATCTATACATTTATTGTAATTATGAATTGTGGAATTCATTATTTGCACTTACGTAGTTTAGGGCGGTCGAAAAGGATCTAGAAGTCTGAAAAATAAAAACAAAGAAATGAAAAGATCGATATCAGACTGTGGCTCCAAGAATACACGCCGTGAGAAAATGAAAGAAAATGATAAGGAAACCTGAGAAATTTGACGGAAAGATTGACGGATCTCGAGCAGACGCTGAGTCGCGAGACGCGCCAGCATTTTTGCTTTCTCTAACGATGATAACAGTCCGAGCCAAGAAGAGATGGGAAGGTAATCTGGAGAGACAGAGAAGGAGAGAGAGAGAGAGAGAGAGAGACAAGAGGTTGCGGTGTGCGTGCTTTCCACTCGACCCTTTTGGTCGTGTGCTTTCCACGATCTATGGTAGTAAGCGGCCCAAGAAATTTCATGGGCTTGACTCTTGGGAGTGTGGGCTGCTTTGATCCCACTCGGACCTTCTGCACGCGTTGCATTCCACAGGGTATAGTCCTATAAAATAGGCCCAAGAGATTCCACGAGCCTAGGGCTTGGCAGTTTCATGAGACCGCTTTGACCGTGCCCATAAGAAATAATCACTCCATTAGAGGTCAGGAGATGTTTTTTTATTTTTTTTTAGAGGTAAGGAGTTTGAATGGTAAAAATTCTCACCTCATATTTTAGATATCAAGAGTTTTTTTTTTTTCAATACAGCAATATTTATCATTCGCCGGTAAATTAATTTTCTTTGAATGATTTGTTACAATGGACTGTTGAACAAAACGCAACTTCATTCAATTCTTGAGCCTAATTGTGGCCTCTCTCTTTTCCCCAAAAGATTTAAAATACTTCTCACTCACCGAGGAAAAAAAAAAACTTCATTTAATTTTGGAACTAAATTCCAGTGTATTTAAATCACTTGTTTTTGTCTTTGCAGAACTGCAACTATATGGATTTTTGATGAAATGACCTTGGTATATACTCCTTTGATCCCAATTTAGATGTCGTTTTTGGGAAGTACCAATTTTTAAGGGGATATGTGGGATATGCCTTATCACCATAGAAAGTTATTAATTTGTCCTTCTAAGTTTTGAATATTCAAGTTTAAAATTTTAAACTCTAAGGACATATATGGAAAAATGTAAAATATATTATTTGAAAAAGAAAAGTGACAATTATTTTGGAACGGACCAAAAAAGAAAGCATGACATTTTTTTTTGGAACAGAGTGAGTATTAGGGTAAAGTGCAAAAAAAACCTCATAAACTATATATGTCCAAATTTTTAAATAATTCCCCGAAGTATTTTTTATGCATAAAATCCCCTGAACTATCACATTTAGTTACAAAATGTCCTATTACCTTGCCTATTTTTCATTTAATGACCATAGTACCATTTTTTATTGAATTATACTTGATCTAGTTTTCTTGTTGAAATAAATTATGAAAAAAATTCATACTAATTTGATAAAATATTCTCCATTAAATTTGCATAAGTTTGCCAAGTTTTGAAATTAATTATTTAAATAAAAATATTAAGTAGAAAATTTGGTAACAATTTAAGTAATTTCTTAATTTTTATGAATATATGGCATAAAATAAGATATTTTTTTATTAAAGTACTTTATTAATTTTTCATGAATATTGTATAAAAAAGAAGGTTTTTTTTTTTTTTTTACACATTATTAATTTTTTTTAAAAAGTGAGTATAATAAGTTAATCATTTTAGAAAATGGTTGCTACAAATCTTCTTCTTTTTTTCATTTTTCTGATAAATTGATACTAATTATAAAATTAAGGTAAATTGTATAATTAATATTAAAAGAAAAGAAAATGTAAGAAAATTAATTTAATAAGAAGGAGTAAAATAATTTTTTTGTGATGCACTTATCCTTAATTACAATAAATTAATAGTTTAAAGAAATAATTTTTAGTTACGGTGGTTATTTGCAAAAGATTAATAGTTAAGTTTTTTCCACCAAACCAGTATATTATCCCAAATGATGTGAATTCTCCCAATAATTAAATCTCCAAATACAATTACTATTCCATCATTTAATTGACATGAACCACATGTATGTTCAGTCTTGGCTCATCCTTCCATATTATACAGTATTCCACAAGAGAAATCATCACCATTTGAATATTGCAAAGAATAACTAAGAAAAACGTACAGAACATGCTTTTGTATTACAAGAACAACAAATATTAGATTTACATTTTGTGTTCTTAAAACTCTGGATACAATTTTGTGTATATGAGTCTGTATAATTTTATATTTAATACACGACAAAATCTTGGGAGAAATATATCATATGATCATCCCAACAGTATTTGTTTGATGGATTGCGGAGAAATCAAGATCACATAGAAAGGCTAAACCAGCCATGAATATCAGCCTCTGTACTGATCTGTGTCGATTTATCGTAAGCTCTCAATGAACAAATTACTCAAGGGACAGCCCAAGCTCATGTATTAGTACAGGGGTTGATCTGATCTATACACATCCCAAGCCTTTAGCTTCTGAGCCTTTCATGATTCTCAGCCTTTTGCAAGAGGTATTAAACATCTCCCATGGGACATCTCCAACCAGCATCCAATCACCATCTTTGTCTTCATAAGTTGCTGCAAACTCAAATCCATTGCAACCTTCTCTTTCTGAATACACACCTAATTAATTAAAAAAAAAAAAAAAAATTAGAAATATATATATATCAAAACCACACATATGACCAGAACCAACACCACCAAAGCCATCAATAATCACAACACAAACTAGCTGGAAAGTGGTTCTTACCAAAAGTGCATTTGAACATATTCTCTAAGGCCTTGAGGAGCTCTGGGTAGCTTTTGAAAACCTTCAGATCAATTTTTCTCAGATAAGGAGCTCCATCCATGCTCACCTTCAAATACAATCCGGTAGCATCCGTATCGGCTTTCTTCGCTTGGAAACAATTTTTCCGGTAAGATCTGACCGGAGGCCACCCCACAACTTGTGCCCTGCCATTTCATTAACCAATTCATATAAATCAGTACTTTAAGACATAATTAATTAAGAATGTGTAAATTATTAATTATATATATATATATATATATATATAGATACATGCATGCCTACTTAATAAATTAAGAATCGATCAAACATATTAGGGTAGTAGATCACTTACTTTGCAGGTGGGGATTGATCATGGTCATCATTTGAAACATTGTCCATTTCTGATGAGGATCTTTTCTTAGTACCCTTAATTGTAGAAGGAGAATGTTTTTCGGGCTCACCCGTCCCCGGCAATCCCAATCTTAACTCAGTTGCCTTGAGATTAAGATCGGTCTCCCAAGTTATTGTGCTCTCCATTTCCAACAATTGATGTTTGCCTCTTATCAATCTTTTGGTCTTTTCTCGGCTAGACACTTTTTCGATGATATATATATATATATGTATGTATGTAAAATTCAGGTGAGACTCAGATGAATTCTTCTATATTCTGGCTGTGTTGCAAAAATGTAGAGTTGAGAATTTTGGGTTTGTGACTTGTGAGGATGGGAGGAGAAGAGTTTTATAGGGCGATTAGGGAGAGAGAGTATGTAGGTGAGTTATTCACTTCGTGCATGAATTTCACACATGAAAAATGGAATCCCCACACGCTTTCACACGTACACTAGTTGTCTGACCAATCAGATGCCGAAACGTGGAGATTCGTGTATGGAGGCGCGTGGGAAGTCAAATTCCTTTTCTAGATATAAACCAGCTATCACATGACCGGCACTTTTGGATTGTTTTGAACTTGTCTTGCAATTAGGGGACAAAGGAAGGACAAGGCACAACCGCCCGAATTGAAGACTGTGGACCTGTAGTGAACGGCTGAGATGAATCGTTGTTGGGTTGTACGAGTGAATTTAGGAGCGTTGGATCATAAGGGAACAACCCATGTGAATGGTGTCGTCGGTGAGCGTGACATGGCCATGTAAAGTTGAGTTCAGCGGGACCCAACTCTAAATTGATTGGCTTCTGGATGGGTTACATGACATGTGAGGTGGCATGTGGACTGATGATGAAGCATGATCCTTCATCTCCTCCTTCCGTCTAGGCTGTCTTGATGGATAATTTTCACGTCAACTACTCAAGTCCCATGAATTATTTTTATCAATTCATTTGGATATCAAGAATATGATATACTTTCGTGCCGAAATATGGTAAAGAGGACCCCAAATATATATAAATATACAACTTCGAATTATAAAAAAAATCAAATTAAAAAGATTAATTTTTTTTAAATAATGCTTAGCTACTCACCGATGAGTAGTTAAGACTCATTTCTTATGTGTTTTAATAACAAAGTATCATATTAGTTTTAACAAAAAAAATTCTGTACATTTATTTAATGGTTGATTCGAGAAAATACAGGAGGACGTGAGTTATTTTGTTATTAAAACTGATGTGTTATTTTGTTATTAAAACGCACAAGGGTGAGTAGGGTGAAGCTACTCATCATTGAGTAGCTAAGTATTATTCATTTTTATTCAAGTAAAAAAAAGTCCATTAGGTTGACTTTGATAGCTCAATGTACTGAAATATTTTTGTACTTAGTAAAAATTAAATTAAAAATATTCGTATTTACGATTCGTATCAAGAGGCTCTTTATCCACTCAGCGGTTCAAATTAAAAATATTAATGACAATAACACATATATTTGTGTATTTATTGCTATATAGCATGCCAATTCTTCCATGGCAGCAGATTATGAGAGTTAGCTAAATTATGTGGCATATGATGGAGTGGACAAAAGTTGTGGTATATAAATCAGTGGGATATTGTCAAGTGAAGACAATCACAATAATTGTGTGATAAAATTTCATAGAAGCAAAGATGGGGTTGTGTTAGTTGTGAGTTCATTTCCACATAAATTAACTCACAATGATCGTTACACATATTCGAGTTTCATTCACAAATTGAAGTGTTGGCCGTGACGTTAATTGACTAATGACTCGTCAGGAGCCTCTCAAGTCGGCACCACATGTGTGTGTCACTGTGTTGGCAAGTATATGAACTGTATGATCCCAATATTTGGTTTGGGCTAGTTGGGTTTTTTCGTGGGCTCTTTTGGGTTGCCTTCGGGGCTTGTAAGGTCTCCACAGGGACATCTAGAAATTCATAAGGAGAATTTATATAGATGGTTTTTTTATAATTTTAGTGAGAATAATTTCAAAATTTTATGAATATAAATGTAAAAAAATATAAATTTAGAGATGTAAGATGCAATAATAAAAAATTGTCTGTGCCTGGGTCTCCGCATACCCCCACCTTGTATAGTTTTTCTCCTTTTATATATTTTGATTTATCGAGAAAATATATATATATATATATAATATGATACCAATAGTCTATATATACACATATACTTTTTAGATCAGTGATACTCACACTGAATACTTACAGTAAATTGTCTAATCAAATAATTTTTTTAGTATCCCACTCCCCTGTTGCATAAATGACCAATTAAAAACAATAGATGTAAAAGGCGAAAGAATAGTTCTTTTATATATATGTGTGTGTGTGTGTGTGTGTGTGTGTGTGTGTGTGTATATATGGAACTTTAAAATGCATGAGGCTGCCAGGAGCAGTGCTATGTGATGGCCATGGGCGCGAATTTACTCCTGAGGGTCCCTTCATCCCACCATTTTCTTCAATTCATTTATCATGATTAAGATATCTCACTGTGTTGGATTTGAAGCCGCACGTATATCATCAATGTGATCAATATATATATATATATATATAACCAGTAATTTAACCACGTACGTTGGATGTTTCAGATATTACTTCAATCTAGCTAGACTTGCATGTAACACCTCTTGGACTTGAAATATCATAGTTCATAACTTCATGTACAAACTGCGTTATATACCCTTTAACTCTTGTATGCATACGCGCGTACCAACCCCAAGCAATATAAATATATTATGATTGAACTACATATACATACACACGTACACGATATACATATATATATGTGTATATATATATGCGCCCATGCAATTGATGGGAACTGGAATATTTACGTACACACAGAGACGTACGTATGTGCATGTGTATTTATTTACCTTGAGATGCATACATATTTTTTTTTTTTTGAAAAATAGAGATGCATACATATTGCACGTACATAGCGAGACATGACAAGTTGAGTGAGATTAACTAATATGTGAGACACAAGAAGTTGAGTGAGATCGATCACGTCATAAAATCGTGTCTACTACGTACTTCTACCCTCAGTTCTAGGTTGATTAAAACTTAGATTTAGTAATTCATTGTTGGAAATTAATTTCATGTTAATTGTTTCCAATGGACCTCCCGCAATTATTTCTGCCATGCAGTACCAATGAAGACGGCAGTCATTCCGGTCCACTGAATTTCGCATGCCAACTTGGCGCTAAGGGCGGATCCAGAGGGGGGGGGGGGGGGGGGGCTAAGGGGGCTTCAGCCCCCACCCAAAAAATTAAAAATTAAAAAACCCAAAAAATTAAAAATTAAAAATAATAGTATTAGTGGGATATATTAACCCCCAAAATATTTTTTTTGGAGGGCAGCTTTGTTTGTATATGCTCGTAAATCCAAAGGGGGCTAAGGAAGCCCCCACCCAAAAAATTAAAAATTAAAAATAATAGTATTAGTGGGATATATTAACCCCAAAATATATTTTTTCGAGGGCAGCTTTGTTTGTATATGCTCGTAAATCCAACATATATATATATACACACACAGAGATAGATAGATTAGCTGTGTTATCCCAGAACATGTGTATGACTGTATGTACACACAAGTACATCACGCCAATGAACAACTCATACATTGTGTAAAGCACAAATCAAAGAATTGAAGAGAAGTGGACAAACCAAGAAGTGTCACTTTATACACCATTTTTGTAATTAATAAATCTGCAAGTATTCTTTTGTACGTGATCAATGCATGACAAGTTGACAACTGATCGATCACTTATTTGCAAGGACCACAGACACAAGGGTCCAACCCCATCACCTTCCACGAAAGATTGGATCTGTGCTTTGAATTTTTGTAGTGTTTCTCCTTTCAAACCCCACTCCATAAACGTTGTAGACCCTATATTGTATTTTTCAAGATAATCGTCCATCTTTATCACCACTTTTTTTTTGGCATGCTAGAAATTATTCTTAATTTTTCCTAAAATTGATTTTTTATAAATAAGTTGACAGCCTCAATTTGAAAATAGGTTTAAATTGTTGGTCTAACTTTATTGATTTTGAGTTTTAACTCCAAAGCCTAGGTTAAGGTTTTGAGGACAGATAGAAAAGAAAAAAATGTTTAAATATTTTATATAATTTTATAATTCCCACACTGCAACGAACACGGAAATTAGTGATAAAAATAGAAGAATTGGAATAGATTTGACAACTATTTTTTCTTTTCGAACAGTATAGACTCGACAACTTTGTATGATAGTAAATGGTAGGGCAACTCTAGGGTTGGGGAATATTAGAGCATCATATAAAAGGTTCACACGTGCAACGTATTAATGTTGATGGTGAGATGTGGGCCTCCAGTCACACGTGAGATGAAGCTTAGACTTTGGACTTTGGAATTGCAATTGGGCCAGGACCAGAAGTGATATGTGAAAATTCAAATGCAAACTCCCCTACGTTACTTTCCTTCTTGTTTCCCTGTCTACCAGCCGTGTTGGTTGGCTCGGGCCATGCCATGCCCATAAGTCAGATCATTTCAGATTAACATATATGTATATATATTATACACACACACACACACACACACACACACACACACATACACTTACTATTATTTTGTATTTATCGTCAATTCGTCACTCATAATGTGGGTTGGTGAAATTGGGCCCCAGTGAAATAACGAGTACTGTTCTAGAACCTTATGGGCCCTTGATAGGTCCACCATCGTCCTTATCCCTTTGAAGAAGTTTAACCTTTGAAATTCAAATATTTGACAACATATCGTCAAGTTCACAAGAGCTTTGGGTCCACGGAACCTTTATTGAACGGAGTATAGATCTGGGCCTCAATAGACTAAATTTAGCCCAAGCTATACACTGAAAGGTCATGTATTTTGTGTGGGCCGTATGTGGTAGCCTGGTAGGGTAAGGCCCGAATTGCCTTTTTCCTTTTCTTTTTTTCTTTTTTTTTGGCAAAGACTATACAATACTCTGTTTGGTAGTATAAAATTCATCATATAGAATTGATGTTGTATATCATTTTAGTTCAAAATGTAAATTAATTTTACTCCGATTCTAATTCGAAATTAAGCATGAATTTTGTGCTTTCAAAAACAGCATTGAATATGCTTAAACAGAATGACTTTCTTTTTCATGTTGTGTACAAATAATATTTTAAATAGAAACATCAGATATAAAAATAGAAAAATGTAAAAATATAGAAAGGGATTAAAGCTAGAAAACGGGAATTGACAATTTTGCCCACCAAGCTGATGAGGAAAATGAACCAATTTACTAGGGATGGCAAAATACCCAGCCCGTCGTGTATCCACCCTGTTTAAAATGATTAAGGGAGTTGTTAAATA